TCATCTCAGCTGCTAACTTAAGGGTAAATATGTCTGTCTTTTTTTTTTATTTTTTTAAATATATGAAATTTATTGTCAAATTGGTTTCCATACAACACCCAGTGCTCATCCCAACAGGTGCCCTCCTCAATACCCATCACCCACCCTCCCCTCCCTCCCACAACCCCATCAGCCCTCAGTTTGTTCTCAGTTTTTAAGAGTCTTTTATGCTTTGGCTCTCTCCCACTCTACCCTCTTTTTTTTTTTTTTCCTTTCCCTCCCCCAAGGGTTCCTGTTAAGTTTCTCAGGATCCACATAAGAGTGAACCATATGTCTGTCTTTAAAGATACTTGAACAACAGTGCTTTTACATGGGGGATTAGTATTTGGCTTTGCTCAAATTTCTTCATTATTCTAAACCACACTGACACAGGTGTATGGTCTCCCTGATGTTTGATGAATGTTGGGACCCAACTGTGGATTAAAAGCTGTCAACCCAAACTTAGAAAACCAGGGTCACACTAGATTAGTATAGAAGTTTAGTGCCATACAGCAAATGGTGCACTTTACGGACCATCATGTTTTTGAACGTACTGCTAATACAGTATCACTATGAAATGGGCATAGAGAAACAATATTGTAGTTCGATTATTATAAGCTTGATTTCTACTGTATATGATGTATGTTTTCTTAAAAAATAAAAACTAGGGCGCCTGGGTGGCGCAGTCGGTTAAGCGTCCGACTTCAGCCAGGTCACGATCTCGCGGTCCGGGAGTTCGAGCCCCGCGTCAGGCTCTGGGCTGATGGCTCAGAGCCTGGAGCCTGTTTCCGATTCTGTGTCTCCCTCTCTCTCTGCCCCTCCCCCGTTCATGCTCTGTCTCTCTCTGTCCCAAAAATAAATAAACGTTGAAAAAAAAATTTAAAAAAAAATAAAAATAAAAATAAAAACTATACTTTTCCATCTCATTAACAGAAGTTGGAACTTTAGACGTGTTGCAAATAATTCTCCAATGGCAAATAACTAAACAATATTGAGATCATACATTCTTTGTTTACCTATTGAGGAAATCAGAGCGTAAGAGGTACATTTTAAAAACTATTTGTCTCATAGAAGAGCATTAATGACACTGAATCAGTTTGAAAATACATATTATTTGCCCAATATTAATAAAGTAACAGCAACAGGAAATGATGCCTATCTTTCCTTTAGTATATGAATAATGCTCTGTTTAATGGCAAATAGCTTTTCACCCTCCAGGTCAGAATATGATGGAAAGTGTGAAATAAGTCTTTCCCTGACCCTTAATAATGGCCATCTGGGAAGTGAAATAGCCATACAAATGCCCCCTGGGGGGGCTCAAGGGAGGAGGTTCCGGGGAAAGCATATCAAGATGGAAGTTTGGGTACTTCCCCAAAGACCAGTGTGGAGCTTTGAAGCAGCAGGACACCAGCTCACCCTAGGATTCCGCATCTGCTGCTAAGCACAAGCTTCCTTTTCCTTCCCAGCAATCTCATCCAAGGCTGAACTCCAAATCAGGAAATTTTTCTCAGCAAGGTAACGAACTGATCCAAAAGAATCAACATTTTGCTGTGACCAGCCAATAGGCTGAATCCTCCCTGGAAGTGTTACAAAATAGACTAAAGAAATTTCCAACCAGTGCAGTGAAAGCACTGTGTGTGCATGTGTGTAAGGGGTGGTGCAGAAGTCCCTAGGGGCTCTTCGACTAGCCCCAGAATCCTCCAGAAATAATTCTGCATAGTAATTTCAGGGAGCTTTTTATTTTTATAATATCTGATCCTAATTGGCTCCTTCCACTCTGAAACCAACTTTTACTTATATCTTTGGATCTTTTGTTTCAAATGAGAAAAGCAGAGGGTAGGGAATAATCTACTTGTGAAATATATGAAACCAGGTCTCATCAGAGAATTGAAATCCTTTGAGTTGTAGCCTGTAAATTCCCACGACCAAAAAAAAATCAGTTATAAGCTATCTGGAAACTGTGACTCCAGCCTTAAGGCACTTCCTATTGCACTTGAAAAGGAAGTGATTTTCACCAATCTTCTGGACTTCAGAAGGAGAGCAGGGTAGTAATTCAATGATTTACTAAGTTTCAGATAAGAAAGGGTATCGGACTACATTCCGTATCTACCCACCTTCAGCAACGTCTGACCCGTGTCCTAGGTTTATGGTGCTGATAGAAAATTCCAGGAATTAAAAAAATATTAAAGTTTTAAAGTTACTAGATCTCAGAAACCTCTGGACTTTTAAAATAAAGTTAAACCCAGAATTTGTAGAGCATGTTCTTTATTAGGACTAGACGTGGCAAAAGGAAAAACATGCCAAAAGGATCACTGAAACTAGGCTTTTTATCACATCTGGAATGAAACTTTGCCTGCAAACACAGCATTTAAAATATTGTAAATGTTGCTAATTGTATTTGAGAGGCCACTTCAAAGCACAGTTATGGCAGTGTATGGTTGACTTTAAAGAGAACCAGTGCCTTTGAATATGCTTGCTACTTTAGTGGTTTACAACAATTGCTTTAATCTAGGAAGTGTAACATAATGGTCAAAGTATAATAAGTTTTAACATACTTTACCAGGTACATATTTCTTAGTTAGAGTCTATGATATTCTTTGGAATTAAGCAAGTCAGAAAGTAGAAACTAGCCTTTAGATAAACTATAGGAGATATCCCTGATACCCATCTGCAGAAAGAAAAGAGACACACATCTCTTAACATTAAAATAGTTTAAATGAATCAAAATAGTTTGGAATGTCAGTTTAAATATTTTGGTGAGTTGAGCCAAATTTAAACCGGCTAAAAGAACTAAATGTTGACTCATTTGACAAGAAAAACCAGTGGGAGGAGAGGCCTTAGACTTGGGGTGGGGGTGGGGGTTGTGCCTGGTGGTTCATGTTCTTTCTCCTCTCTCCATAGTGTTACACCATGTCATTTCATCCTAAGGCTGGTTCCAGTCGTGACTATATGATAGTTGTCAGAGGACAGAGGCCAAGTGCTTCTTCCTGCACATCCAGAGGCCTGCTTCTTCCCCAGCATTCTGAGCAAGAGTCCTGAACGTGTCCCTCCCTGAGTGGAACAGCTTACCTCACAGGACTAATCCACAATAATTGTGGCCAGGGAAATGGTTATGTCGATTGATTTATACCAATCAGGATGCATATCTGGAGCTGGGGATGGGCTCATTTCTGAGAAGGACATAGATTATGTGGAGGGCAGGTAGATACTAGTAGGAAAACTGGGGAAAGGGACAAAGATACTAGTAGGAAAACTGGGTGTTCACTACATGGACATCTGGTCTGAAAGACAATAGCAAACCCAGGGCTATGTTTACTGAAAATCACCGTTGGTATTACCAATAAGAAAATGGTTCCCCGATTACAAACGAACAACAGCAACAACAACGTTCCAAGGCCAATATGTTTATTATTTTGTGTTTGACTTAAGATGGCTGAATGATTTCATTTTCAGTTATAAGCATTACATTAATTCCCATGCAAAAACCCAAGACTGCATATGCCTGATTTCAATTGGCTAAAATCCAACTTGTGAGTCTGGACCTTTAAGATCAAATCCAAATTGTTGCTTGACCTTTCCAATAGTACACATCATGGTCATCCTTTGAGATATCAGCTGGGCCCCTGACCTCTCAGACACCACAGTTTGCCATGAGTCCATATCAAAACAGGGAGCCAGTGACTTGTGGTATCTAAACCTGGCAAGTGATTTCATTCATGAAGATAAGACACCTCCACACAAAGCTACCACCCACAGATATGTCCTCGTTCCTGCTCTATAGAAAACCTGCTTTTGAACAGGCATGGTGTCTTCTATTCAGGGATTATAAATTCTTTCTGCCAGTTTTCCCCACAACTCCCAGTAGAAGCAAAGAGACTTTACATAAAAGCTTACCTCTATAACCCCAAAAGCAGTACATACAAAGACACCTACTCTATCAAGTATATTTTCCCCAGCTTTGGATGGTCACATAGCAGGTGTAAAGCTTTACAAACTTCTCTCCATAAGACAGGAACCAGGAATATCAAAGAGGGAAAAACAGGACCCCACAATTAAAGGAGAACGAAACAAATGCAAAGAATCATTCTATTGATCGAGAGAAATGGGTTAAATGAAAAAAAAAATGATAGCATTTCAACAGTGGATGTCAATGTCTATTGAAATACACACACTGGAACTCTGACAATGGCCAAGATTTCATTAGTGCAAATAACAATTATAATGGTATGTTCTTTAATAGGATTTAAATAAGGCTTCAAATAATTACACACGCTAAAACTACCATTTGGAAACCTTAATTCTGTTTGGAAAGTTGTCAAACACACCCTCCAAACCATCCAAAGTTCTGATCTGAGGACAATTACATTCAATGAAGTTGCTTCAAAACACAACTGGTAGCATTATCACTTTCAAAGTCTACATTGTTTGGTGAAAAGGGGGAAACTACTCCCGTCACTGGTCAAAGGGAATAAACCCAGCTAACATACCAGGTAGTTTCCAGGTTCAGATGATTCTCAAATATCTGTAGTGATGAAAGCTCATTAAAAAAAATTAAATAAAAAGACAAAAAAAAACCCCACAAAAAAACCCACAACAGAATCCTGAAGTGTCAGAAAGAGATCTGTTGCCCTATCCTCATTAACAAATTTGCACAAAGCATGAAACAGTAAAAAAGCAAGAGAATTCATGGGCATTTTCGTCTATGGCTCAAGTTCTCCTTAAAAAAACCAAAACCAAAAACCAATGTGACAATAACTACAAAAAATAAACAACAAAATCAGAGGCAGAATATGAAATAGTAATATACTGTTTCAGAGCCTGCACCGTCCTGCAGAACCAGGAAACTTAAAATGTGTTCTTAACAGATCCAATCTAGGCTGGATATGTAAAAAACGGAAAGTCAGCATCACAAACCACACTACACATGATGAGCGTTTGAGAACCAGAAAAAGGGGTGGGGGAGGGGGGAGGCAGCAAAACGCTCAGAAAAATTTATCATCAATTCTGAAATGGGGCCTTGTGACATCATCAGGGTTGATAAAGACAGAGATGGATTTCCCTGGGTTCTCAGTCACTAGCTGTTGCAGTTTTTTGGCCAAACGGTCATCAGGCTGGTTGGGGTCCCCTCCGTCGGACTGCGGGGAGGGGATGCTGGTGGTGCTGCCCCGCCTCTGGAGCTCCAGCGTCAGCCGGTTGGCCGCCTTGACGTGCTCGATGGCCGTGCGCAAGTGCTCCGCCGGGTCCGAGCGGACGGAGGAGAGCTTCCGCGCATGGAGCATGACGGTCTCCTCTGACAGGTGCTCCAGCATGTTGCACTGAGGGATGAAATAATTGGGGCACATCTTGTTGACTAGACAGTGTTGTAGGTCATCGATGAGGCCCAGCAAAAAGTGCGCTGCATAGTCTTCTTGGGCCAAGTAGTTGGCAGGAAGTCTGTCACAGGCCCAGAGCATCATGCTCCGCAGGTGATAGGGGCTGATAGCCTTGGGCCGGGACAGGAGTTTAATGATGATGGCTTTGCAGGCCTGGTAGGCCTGCATGAGGCTACTAGAGATGCACTTCTTCAGCTGCACCTCGCTCCTGGCAAAGGACAGCCGCCATTCATTGTCCTTCTTACCCTTGTATGAGCAAGCAGGCACCAAGTAAAACCCACTGATGACCTCTTCCTCAGTGATCTTCCCATCCCAAAAGTGGTTCTCCATGAGCCAGCTCTGGGCCACTGCAGGCCAGCCCTTGAAAGATACCACAGGGACGATATCATACAACATGCGACTGCTCCCCACTCCCAGAATGATGGAGATGATGGTCCCGTTCTTCTCTACCTTTTCCACCTTTGGCATCCCTCGCTGGGGTTTCTTCTGGATCTCCGAGAGGACAATGCTGATGGAGTCATAGAACCAGTCGGCCACTTTGGTTGGGGAGAAGAAGTAGTTGGTGGCACCATTGATGTGATCCACGATGGTGCAGCAGTCTTTCCACTTACTGATTGTCCCCTCGTCAAAGAGCCGGAGGCTCAGCCAAGAGTGGCACAAGGCTGAGTGGCGCATGTCGAGTGTCACAGGCTGATTACGGTCATGCAGCTTAAGGGCTGGCACCAGAAGAGTGAAGTCCATGTCGTAGTCTGTCCCCCGGGCATAGACATTCAGCTCATCTAAGTCCAGGTCCACCACGCCTTCCCGGACTCCCCCGGAGAGCAACAGGTACTCATTGGCCACTGGAAGTTTTTGGTCCAGCTTTTGCACCATTCCTAGAAAAGCAGAAAGAGAAAACACTATTACAGGAAGCACAGATACCAGACTCTTTGGCATCAATGTAGAACGTGCTGAGTTTCCAACACCCACTATTCGCTTCCGGTGCAAATTCAGATCTCAGGCTGCCACACGGACCCAGCCAGCAGTATTTTCTTCTTTCTCATACATGCGAGAATACATCCTTTACTGAGTGGGAGAATTACAGTAGACTTTTCTCTTGTGGCAAGAGCAGTAACTTTTTCAATCATAAACAGGGGTCTTCCTTCCCCCCATCATCACCATGGTCAGTAGCATCACCATCCACTAGATCATTCAGGCTGAAAACCTCAGTAAGCTTTAATCTTCATTGGCTTCTACAGCCAAATTTTGTCTATATAACCTCTGCAACATTTCTCACTCCTTCCCTGTTCCCCATCTTTGCTGTCATCATACAAAGCCAGGCTCTTTTGTCTCTTGCCAAAACAGCCTCCTCACCCCTAGGTTTGCCCTGCGTAAACATCCCTCTGTGCCAGTGATTCTCAGCGTGGGCTGTGGAGACTGAATGCGGGACACTTTCAGGGGTTGGTGAGGTCACAGCTCTTTCCACAATAACACTAACACATCATTTGTCTTTTTTCACCGTGTTGACACCTGAACTGACGCTTGACGGTATGAAGTAAGTGGAGGGACAAACTGGTAGGCATTCGTGAAGACAGTGGCACTAAACCATACTGGCAGTCCTTGGACTCTTTACTGTACTAGCATTAAAAAAAAAAAAAATTCAAGGGCGCCTGGGTGGCTCAGTCGGTTGAGCGTCCGACTTCAGCTCAAGTCATGATGTCCCAGTTC